CCCAAGCGGGAGACCCTACACCATTTGCAGTCCACTCTCTCCTTGAACGTCTCAAGTGATGACGCTCCCACAACTTCCGAGTGCAAAGCTGATCCATTGTTCTATCAAACTCTCAGTATACATACAAACAACAAAGTAATATAATCATAATAATGATATGAATAAGAGAAGGTAGTAGAAAAGATGAGAATAGTAATATAGCTATACTGCATGGGTAAATATCCTTAGACATAAGACAGTTCAGTGGGAATTAGGTGTTCAGCAGAGTATATTGGCACAAGGAAAAAAACCTGTCTCTATGTCTAGTTGTTCTGCCAGCAAAAACCGAACTCTGTTTTCACTGCCAGAGAGTTACAGGAGGCCATCACAGCAGAAAACGGAGCTCAGAAAGGCTGTGCATGGCCCTCCCGAAGTCCATTTTTGCCGGTAGAGGCACCACAGGCTGGTTCTTTGCTGTTTCCAGGGAGGCCCTGTGGGCCAGATCTAAGCACCCGGTGGGCCAGATTCAATCCTCACGCCTTGAGTTTGACACCCCTGCACTAGATAGACCACCTTAGGAGGGGGACCCCGCATTGGTGTGAGTTCCCAACTTTTGGCCAAGTAAAAATGAGGATGTGGCTACTTGAAATAAAATGGGAGAAAAGAAAAGAGCAGTGGGAAAAGTAATCAATCAATTTTAGTTTAGAATAGGCTAGATTATCCAAGGTGGATGGATTGATAGAACGAAAATTCAAAACTTCTAAGAGGCACCAGGTTACACAATCCTGGTTTAGGGCATGGAATTTAGAAGCATTCTTGAGGTTTTTTTTTTTTTCTCATAGCAGGCTTGAAATATATAGCTTCTTCTCACATGACACAACAAAAGAATTTTCAATAGCAATACCACACCAACTGTTTGTGAGGTTTAAATTTCAGTGCAGATGTTGCCATATGGGAAAGGGAGAAAATTTACAAAAATACTGCCTACATTTTTACATTTCCTCCCAAGCATTAATTTCCTCAATCTGCTGTTACTTAAACAATCCTTTTTTTACAGAAATATACCAACGCTGCATGATCACAGTCAGAGATCACACAGTGAATGCAATGATATCATTTACTGTCATGTATCCAATCAAATTTGATTATGTGACAATTGGGCAGAGAAAAGGAACTCTCTCAGTATAATTGGGAAGAGGGAATATATCCCCTCACTCAGTTAATGAGGCTGTCCTGATATATTATCCACCCAGGAGTGGCCTTACACTTCTTCCAATGTGTATTTAAATGTGCAGCTGAATATGCCATTGCAACCAGTTCTAAACAGGAATTCTATTCTATTCTGTTCTGTTCTATTCCATTCTGATCACAAAAGATATTTAAAGGGAGTCTGTGGTGAAGAAAAGATTGATGACCACTGTCTTAAATACTGTACATAGCTTACCACACTCTTATTTTATTCGCAACCTTCATTGTTTCTTCCCCCAAAATGGTAAAGAAAAAAAAAAGAAATGCAGTTTTGGGAAAGAAGGAAGGAAGGAAGGAAGGAAGGAAGGAAGGGAGGGAGGGAGGGAGGGAGGGAGGGAGAGGGAGGGAGGAAACAAAGGAAGGAGGGAGGGAGAGTGTGGGAGGAAGGGAGGGGGAGAAGGAAGAATGGAGGGAGGGAAGGAAGGAGGGAGGGAGAGGGAGGAAGGGAGGAAGGGAGGAGGGAGGAAACAAAGGAAGGAAGGAAGGAAGAAGGGAGGGGGATGGGGGAGGAAGGGAGGAAAGAAAGGAAGGAGGGAGGGAGGAAAGGACAGAGGGAGGGAAGGAAGAAAGGAGGGAGGAAATGAAGGAAGGAAGAAAGAAGGGAGGGAGAGAGGGGGAGGAAGGGAGGGAAGGGAGGAGGGAAGGGAGGGAGGGAGGAAATGAAGGAAGGAAGAAGGGAGAGAGAGGGGGAAGAAGGGAGGCAGAGAAGGAAGAATGGAGGGAGGAACAAAGGAAGGAAGGAAGGAAGGAAGGAAGGGAGGAAGGAAGGAAGGAAGGAAGGAAGGAAGGAAGGAAGGAAGGAAGGAAGGAAGGAAGGCAGGCAAGAGATAGAATTTTATGGTTCTGTCTACCCATCCATCCATCATAAAAGAATATGATACATCCAGGTTATTGGGTTCATCAGATGTTGCAACAGCAGTGCCTTTTACTGTGGCTCAGAAGATAGTGGGGTCATTTGAGTAACGTGCCTGAGAAGGCTTAACTGATTTTTATTCTTAAATATGTCATGCTAGGCAAACACGAGATGTTCTGGCATCTCATTCTGATTTGGGACAGAAGATCACTTTGGAATGTCAGCTCATCCTGGAGGAGGAAATGTCTGCTTCCCAGCCAGTTACAGTCAGAAAATCCTAAAAGCTTTTGCTGAATCTACAGAACTGGCTGAGTCTCTCAGGGAATTGGGTCAGGAAGGAGGGGAGCTTTGCTACTATGGATGTTTAGCACTGCATCATTTGTCCTTGGGCACCAGGGAGGTTCAGGGGCTTGTTTATTTTTAATCTTGTAAACCCACCCAGAGACTCTCTTGTATCAGATCGGCAACTATATCAATCAATCAACCAATCTCAATTGTTTATATATCAAACCCCAAAATATATAGAATCATTCTGGTATGCCTGTTGGTCCTTGCTGCAGGTAGAAGCAGTCCTTGGCTTATGACCACAGCTGAGCCCCAAAATTCTGTTGCTAAGTAAGACACTTGTTCAGCAAGTTTTGCCCCGTTTTATGACCATTCTTGCCATATTTGTTAAGCGAATCATTGCAGTTCTTAAATCAATAACACGGTTGTTAAATGAATCTGGCTGGCCCATTGACTTGAAGGCCAGACAAGGAATAATGGAAACCGATCAAGGAGGGATTCAACCTAGAAATAAGGAGAAATTTTCTGACAGTAAGAACACTCAACGAACGGAAAAAGCTCGCTTTCAGAAGTTGTGGGAGCTTCATCACTGGAGGCTTTCGAGAAGAGACTGGACTGCCATCTGTCAGAAATGGTGTAGGGTCTACTGCTTGGGCAGGGGGTTGGACTAGATGACCTAAAAGGTCCATTCCAACTCTGTTGATCTGTTAATCTAGTCTGACTTTGCTTGTCAGAAGTTCACCAAAGGTGATCAGATAACCCCAGGACACTGCAACCATCATAAATGTGAAACCTTTGTCAAGCATCTGAATTTTGACCACGTGATCACGGGGATGTTGCAATGATACTAAGTATGAGAAATAGTCATAAGGCACTTTTTTCAGTGCTGTTGTAACTTGGTCAATAAATGGTCAATAAATGAATCATTTGAAATGAATTGAGGGCTATCTCAACTATAATGACCACTACAGAATGATGCTAAGCCAGAAGATCCTTGTTATTGTTGAGCTGATTTGACCTACAAAGATTGCTGAAAATAGCATTATGAGTTAAAGTGGTCTCTGGTTTGAAAGTCTGCAAATGCAAAATGGAGGAGGAAGAGGAGAACCTGAAGACAGCAGATTACCTGAGCTCTGTTTTTGCCACTGTGACACAAGGTGTACCACAGGTAGTTCTCAACTTACAACCAGTCACTTCGTAACATTTGAAGTTACACCCATTTTTAAAAGGGGAGTTAAGAACTGTTTCTGAAGTTCTGACAGTGAAGCCCCTCTGCAGTCACATGGTCACATTTTGAGTGCTTGGAAAATTGGGTGCACTTATGGCCATTTACAGCATACTACAATCATGTTGACACATTTTCTGTATTGATCTATCAGGTGTATGTGTTGTCCTATTTTACTTTTTTTTTTTTAAATGACCCTTCCTCGGGGTGGAGTTGGGGGGCAACTGAATGGAGCTAAGCATTTACTGGCCTGATGCCCTTCCTGATGCCTATGCAAAGTTCACAGCAGATATTTTCTCTTTCCACCCCAATGGATAAATATCTGTCACTGCCTAGGACTGAGCACTCAACCTTCCAAGTGGGAGGCGAGAGTTTTCACTTTCTAGGCCACCGCACTGCTCATCTTGTCCTATTTTACAATAGTTTTGCCAAACATAGCAAGCAATGGGTTTTACAACCACTGTGCTTGATTAACGACCACCACAAAAAAGGGTGTAAAATTGGGTCGGCCTCATGACCGACTCATTTTACAACCATCAGATCTTAATGGCAGGATCCATTGCACACTACCTTCAGTTTTGAATTCTAAAAATTACTTCTTAGATTGAACTTGGACATGTAAATAAATTCAGACACATTTTACAGTAGATCAAACTGCATCTTTTTTCCCTCTCCTCTTTTTCATGATGTATTTCCTGTCTTCAGAGCCATTCTTACTTTATCTGCTACTCCTTGTTCTATCATTGCTAAACAGTGAATTTGCAGAAGCAAAAGCATTTCTCTGCTTCACATTTATTTAAGCTAATTTGCACTTGCTTTTTGACCTAAATCTTGGCACATAGATATTCACGCATAGAGAGAGAATGCTTAAATAACTTGTCCTGATTTTTTCCTCTGACTCTAAAACGTTGTCTTGCCAATTGTTGTTTGTTTCCTGAACTTCAGCAATTTTAGGAATGTAATTCCACGTCTTCTAATAAACAATAAGCTGATTATGGGAAACTCAGTCCACAAAGAATCTAAGTGACAAAGTTATTGCTACATAACAGCAAAACAATAACAACAACAACAAAATGGCAACAAGCAATGAAACCACATAAGTTCCTTCCCTACTTTGGGGTTATAAGAATTAACTGAATATTTACACTTAATATCCCATTCTAACAAACTTTCTTCAAACAATAGCAAGGAATATATATTCTTTACATACAAAACAAACATTTGGCCAATAGTAATATGTTGTTACATGTGTCTTTACCTAATAAATGGAGTTTTGGCTGCAACTTTTTGGAATATGTGCATTTTTAAAATAGAATAACAGATTTGGAAGGATCTTGAAAGTCTTGTAGTCCAGCTCCTTGCTCAAGCAGGAGACCCTGTATCATTTCAGACAAATGACTGTCCAATCTTTTCTTTAAAACATCCAGTAAAGAGGCACCCACAACTTCTGGAGGCAAGTTGTTCCACTGATTAATTGTTCTAATTGACAGGAAATTCCTCCTTAGTTAGTCCTAGGTTGGTTTTCTCCTTGATTAGTTTCCACCCATTGCTTCTTGTCATGCTTTCAGGTGCTTTGGAGAATACTTTGACCTCTCTTCTTTTTGGAAACCCCTCAAATATTGGAAGACTGCTATTGCACCATTCTTCATATGTTTTATCCTCCAGCCCCCTAATCATCTTTGTTGCTCTTCCCTGCACTCTTTCTAGAGTCTCAAAATATTTTTTTATAGCATGGCAACCAAAAGTGGATGCAATATTCCAAGTGTGGTCTTATCAAACCATTATAAAGTGTTACTAACATTTAATGTAATCTTGATTATCCTTCTGTTGATTGTACTTGCATTGAGAAGAAGTTTAATATAATGGTGCAGGCACAGCCTAGAAGTCAGGAGCCTATAAATTCTAGTCCCGTCTTATCTGCAGAGCTGGCTGGATAACTTTAGGTCAAATACTCTTGCTCAACCCTAGGAAAAATACATGGTAAAGCACTTATGAAAATCTCACCAAGGAAACTGAATCGAGACTGACTCACAGAATGCACACACTTATTTAATTCTTGAAGAAAGAGGTATGCCAATAATGACAAGCTATTCCCTGACACACATGCTGCAACAGGAGTCTACACTAATAAATCAATCCATTTCAAAAGGCAATAATGGTCTTTTTACAGTCTTATCTCCTTGACTTCAAGTGCCCTGTCCAACACAAGATCTATAAGATTATACTGGGGTGGGAGGGAGGATTGGACCATCTAATTGCCATAAATGAAAGTCCAATTAGGTCTTAAAACCTTATTTATCTTCAAGCTGTTTATAAAAGCCTTACAGCCTTCAAAAGATAGTATAGCAAATTCCTATTTCACTTGTGATAAAGCTTTGTGGGGGATTTTGAAAAGGTTCTTCTAAAAAAGACAACAGTTTCCAAATGTTGTACAACGTAGGACTTCTTGCTAAGTAAAAACAAATCTGACAGAACCTGCAGGAAGTGAATGTATTTTGCTAGACTTATCTGTAAGATAAAATGACCACTATTGCAACGCTTCTGACTTTCATTTCTGAATCCCGGAGATAAAGGTAGTTTCTTTTATCTTGAACTCAACTCCTGGTGATTACAAAGAGGCAGCCATATCGTTTTCTGGGCAAGAACACAGAAGTGGTTTGTCATTGCTTTCTTTCAAGACAGCTGCTGAATTCCCAGTCTAGCCCACATTTCTGCTTTACCTATAAGTTTCTCATTTCAACTACTAACCAGGCCATCCTTGCTTACCTTCCTAGCCCAGACAAGATCAGCCAAGGGCTGCATCTTGCTGAGATCTGAGTAACAACCACCTTCTGTTTATGTTGACAAGCCAAAGACTATGTATGAAAGTCTATTTTTTCTGTAACCATCATCTCTTTCCAGCTATCTATGCCCTCCTGAGCTTCTTACATTCTATGGAATTCCAGAGGAAGTTTGTGAGTCGTTCTGTAAAAAAAAAAAAAAAAAAAACCTATGGATTATTCACATCTAGAGAGAACAAAATATATCACATAGTTGGAAAAGTTTTATCTTCAGCTTGTTTCCAACTTACACCTTAAAACAACTTTGGTGGAAAAACAGATACATTTCATGTCTCATTCAGGGTGGGGGGAATTAGATTCCTATCAGAACATTTAGTTGCTATGGCATCTGAGAAAATTGTTGTTATTGCTTTTTAACACCTGTGGAAAAAACCTCACCATTGCTGGAATCAAATCAGGTAATTTGAGGAAGGAAGGAAGGAAGGAAGGAAGGAAGGAAGGAAGGAAGGAAGG